ACGATGTATTTCCGTGATATCTGTATTTAAGGACAGAATAAAATACTCTTTTCCAGAAAAAAAAATTATAAAACTGCTTTAAAATGAATTCTGAAGAGAATTTTTCGTGGCGTCTATACGTACGTATATCGCATAACTCAAAAACGAGTAGCCTCAGAACGTTACGTATTTTGTATATAGGACTGCTATAACATGTAGATGTGCACCTCGTATTTTGGTTGCAATCGGCCGCACCAAACGTATACAAATATATTTATATATATATATCCACTCTGTTACCCGGCTCAGTGATATCAGTTTCTTTACTCTTATATGTTTGTAAATTGTACATTGTTTGCTTTAAAAATGACTGAATTATGTTGTTGTTATCTTCCGGTTAAGGTTTTTATGCCTTTAGTAAATCTGTATGCAATATTTTTATAATTATAAACAATTTTAAAATTGTTTAAGTGCCGCTAAGCCTAATAATGTTTTTGATGGCGGCCATTGCACTTGTTTACATTTGAAACAGCAGGATAGCGGATTTGTTGCCAATCTAGAAAATCTTAGCTTCGCAACAACAAAGATAACGCCTTCATTTATTATTTAAATCATGTTTAATCGTTTCTGGAATTTTTTCGAGGAAATAAGCGTTTGAGATTTACTTCGTAATTTTTAATACAAATATTTTCAGTTTTTATGTATTTTTGCCTTGTCGCGAAGTGAAAACTGAATTAATTGAATGAGAAATACTCAATCGTCTGTGAAAAACTGTTTCTTTTTTGTTTCGTTTCCTTAATTTCTTTTATACATAGTTCTAGCTTTATTATAGTATTTGAATAGAACATGTGGCAACGATTATATAATTCTTTAAATGATATACATTTTGTGCTTTCTGAGTTATAACATGAACGAAATATACTGTTCAGTAAACCTAGGGCCAGAGTGTCGCTATGGTAAACAAAGTGAATTTTAAAGAATGCATTTATTCTATAGTGGTTTATGCGCTGTCGGCGAAGTAGGTTTAATTCAATCTAATAAGTTTAAATGAAATGCAAGAAAAAATGCGTATAATTTAATTTTCCCTACAAGGAAGTCATGTGGTGTACACATCAGATGATTTTTTTTTTTTTTTTTTTTTTTTTTTTTTGGTACTCAACATTTTTTTGAACAATCTGCTAGCCGAATTACGCTTATACTAGAACTTTTATGGAACAAAAATGCTTAATCCTGACGAAGATTAGGTGCGAAATTTTGAGAAAGTGCAGAATCGCAAACTACTTACCGCGTTTTTAAGAATTGCACATACACGGTATCCATGTGCACATCGACCCTAAGTGCTTATTTGCTAAAATCACGACCGGAATTTTCCGGAAAATGTAACATGACATGTCTTATGATCTCTCATTTCTCTGGGACAAAATAATCTGTGATTCGAACTGTGTACTTCTCAAATTATTGCTAAAGTCCTAGCTAGTAACCTTTATCGCCTAACCAAAATGTCGCCAAACTACCTGTTACCATATTCTAAAGAATAGCAATTTATTTTTGTACACTGCGAAAAAAAAATTGAAGAGTTTATATCTTCTGTTCTATTGGGCTGATGGACGAAATTCCACTTGCGTTTTTCATGTCTCGAAAGCGCGACTTAGGATATGTATTAGATTTATATGCAGCATTGTTTTAATATACATATTTTGACACAAAATCGGTCGATTTTCTGAAATGGTGCTAATTTTTTTCATATTTCGATTCTACCATTCACATTATGCCAAACTGCGAAGTTTTGTAAAACTCGCGCGAGTCGTTTTTAAAAAAATTAGCTTTCAAAATTTTAGCTCCTTCATGTTAATTGAATTTGGTATATATATTTATTAATATGTCTTTTTTCATTAAACTTATTTGATTCTTCCTTTAATATTCTGTAATTTAGGTTCCCCATTTTTTATGATTTAAAAATTTGCACATTTTTAAATTTATTTCTACAATTTGTATTTTAAACAATTTTTATAAATATTTCGATTTTTTTTTTTTTTTTTTTGTGTGTGTGTGTGTGTGTATGTCTGTGATTATGGCAAAGCCTCGAGAGCTAGCTGCCTAAGGGGAGGGATAGCTTCGTGGAGGACTTGCTAAAGGAAACTGGCTCTGGCTCGTATATCCGTTACACATGGGGAAAACCACGAAAACGCCCATGCAGCCAGCCAGTTTGCGGGATTCGAACCTCGGACCGAACTACCAGTGTTCAGCGACTTTACCGCTCGTTCGCTGGTGGGCTCCGAAAACAATTTTGAAATATAACCTATAAAAGTTTTACCTTCATCTTAAAGCAGATGTATTTCTAAGCATACCTACAAAACATTAGAGTTTTTTTAATTCAAAATTTCTTAAGATATACGTGAATATACATACTGGCGTGTTATGAAATTTGGAATAATTGTTATAAACGATAATAGTAGAAATGAGGTTTACGCACTTAAAATTATTTGAAGGTAGGAACAATGACCCTTTTTTCCGCTCTTTTACAATGAAAACAAGGAAAGGAAAATAAAAGGTGTGGCTATTAATTTCCAGGATTGCTCTAATAACACCAGAACGGATGATGTGAAACACGTAACCTTTTAATATGTTTCGAAGTAATCCCCATCTGCCGTAATGCATTATTGTTCTCGGCTGTATAATTTGTGAAAACAACTTTTAAAGTCCTCTTTCCGGAAGGCCTTTGTTGACCTTTAGTTTGACTAGTTGACTAGTTTCAATAGTTTTACCGAACCATCATCATCAGCCGCCTTACGCTCTGGCAGCTGAGGATGATGGTTTAGCAAAACCATCGAAACTGGTCCTCTGAACATTTGCAGATGTAACGCTGATTTTGGTTGTTTGAATTCTAAATAAACTGAACTTATGGCTTTCCTGGACCGGCCGCTAGAAGAGAATATTATCACATATGAGAGTGGTATTACTAATGATCCAGGAAATATCAGAAAATTAACCAATATCTGAGATGTTGTACCATGATATGACCCCGTATCATGATCAATGGCCGCATCCTCTTGTGATTTCGGATCCATCTTTCGGGATTGTGACGGACTAACGGTTCTTTAAGTTCTTCTACCTCATATTCGCCTTTTCCGTGGTACTGTCGGTGTCAAATTTCTTCTTATGGAACACAGCGCATCGTGTCATGAAACACACACTGTTCAAGATTGGTAAGACAGTGAAAATATTCAACGCCTCGTATAGCCAGCACATACTCTAAACCTAAATCACAATGGAAATGTTTGGGATGCTCTGGAAAGTTGACGTTGCTTATCGAAAATATGCAGGAGTGGAATTAATTGCCCCATAAGCAGCTGGATAATGTTGTGCAAAATATGCGCGACATACGGAAAGTTGCTTCCACGACAAACATATTCTGTAATGACACCTTTTCTGCCGTCTTTCATACATATTTTTTCATTTTTCGTTACACAGCATAAAAAGAACACTTCTGGTTGTTTCAAAATTTCCTGTACTTTATTGAACAATAAATGTCCTTTATTCTAAATTTCGAACAGTGTGGCAACACTATTTTATTCTCTTTAGCCTGCAGCTCTATGTAACTTTATAAGTACCTTACAATTTTAGATTCGTCCTTAGCATATATACAACAGTGTCTGCTGCTATGAAAATTTAATAATCTGCGATCTTATAGTCTATAAGTCTAAATCTAATAATCACAATCTTATAGTATAAATCTAATAGTATGCGGTCTTATAGTCTTTAGAGACATTAGGATTTTTAGTGTTGGTGTTGGTGTATTTAATTATGGCAAAGCACACTAGGTCTATCTGCCTAAGGGGAGGAATGCCTTCGTGGGACTTTCTACGTCTACGGGAAACTGGCTCGTATAACACGTACACAAGGGAAAACCACGAAAACAACCATGCAGCCAGCCCGTTCGCGGGGATTCGAACTCGACCGAACTACCAGTGTTCAGCGACTTTACCGCGCGGCCGCTGGTGGGCTAGGATTTTTGGAAGCAGGCAAGTTGAAAATTAACAAACGCCTTCGCCGGGAATCGAACCATGGACCTATGAAATACCGGGTCAGTGTGCTGACCACTACACCACGAAGGCACGCTAGGAAGGCGGGGAAAATACCTTATATACTCCCCATTTTAAAGAGCGACTGGGGTTTCTAGGGGACCCAATCGCCAAATCCTGGGTGAGGAGAATCGTTATCCAACACCCTTCTAGTTCGAGCGCCACTTTAGAGACATAAGGATTTTTTTGGAAACAGGCAAGGTGAAAAAATAGCAATCCGCCTTCGCCGGGAATCGAACCAAGGACCTCTAAAATACTGTCTCAGTGTGCTGACCACTACACCACGAAGGCATGCTAGGAAGGCGGTAAAAATACCTTATAAGTCTATAGTCTAAATCTATTAATCTGCGGTGTTGTCTATAGTCTAAATGTAAAAGTCTGCGGTCTAATAGTCTTAATCTGCGGCTATAAAAATTGCTTACCTTATAGCTTAAATCATTTCTTTCTCTGTTTTTAAATACGGGCCCACCAGCGGCCGAGCGGTAAAGTCGCTGAACACTGGTAGTTCGGTCCGAGGTTCGAATCCCACGAACGGGCTGGCTGCATGGCCGTTTTCGTGGTTTTCCCTATCTGTAACGTGTATACGAGCCAGTTTCCCTTAGAAAGACCTCCACGAATGCATCCCTCCCCTTAGGCAGATAGCCCTAGTGTGCTTTGCCATAATTAAATACACACACATACACAGCTTTTAAATACATAAGAGTGAATTTAAGAATAATAAATAACTAGTTCTTTAATAAAATGGTTACATCTTCTACTAAAGTTATTTCGAATTATTCTGAGCTTAATAATTTTAAGGGCGAAATTTTCTGAAATTAACCATCTAATATTATCTTACATTTCACCGCTTAAGAAAACTTAATTTTTTTGAAAAAAAAAAAAGTACTTATTTCGCACTCGAATTCGTTGTACTGACATTTCACTATAACCGTTTTTCAGGTCGAATGCAAGATTTATCCAATGGTGAACTGGAGAAGAGGGACTCGCCTTCGCCTGTCACAGTCTTCACAGGCGGGGAGCAAGGTGATTACCTTTTATATAGCTTCCAAGTTATTTGAACAGAAACTTTTACTTCCCTTAGATCTCTTCTCAAAAGACTTTCAAAGAACTTTATTTTTCTATAAGTGCGGTACAAAAATATAGATAGAAAATATCAATGCAGGAATTCCCCTTGAAAATGGCTTTATAAAAAAACTCTAAACATTTTCATTAATTTGAATAGTTATTTTAAAAACCATGCAACGAAGCGATTGTCTCTACACATTGATATTTCAGTTTATCTTGTAAAATTTAACAAAAACATTCCAGTGAGAAAACAACAAATGGAATTTTTACATTCCATTTAAAAATGCTAATTTTGCTTAAATAGCAGTAGCAATTGCTTTTGCACCTTTTTTCCTTGATGAAGTAATCCATATGTCAGTTACAACGAATTAGAGGATTTTCTTCGGAATTCATCTAAGAACATAAATTTTTCGAAATTTTAATTATCCGTGTTTTAGAGGACATGTATACATTGCCAAAAAAAAAAAAAAAAAAAAAAAAAAAAAAAAAAATTGGACAGTTTCTATGTCACCCGTTCTACTGGACCGATTGTCTAAATTTAACTTGCGTATCCTATGTCTCGAAAGCGCAACGTAGGATATATATTTAATTTACATGTAGCGTTATTCTAACATAGCTATTATCACACAACATCGAAGTTTTCTGCAATAACGTACCAATTGCGTTCCATATTTCTATTCTAAGGCTCAAATTATGCAAGGATATTAAATGTTATAATTTTTGGTGAGAAATTTAAACATTTATCTTGGCGCATTTTTTCCAGTTTGAGCCAAGGTAATTTACTAGGCGATCTTCTTAATTCGTAGCAACCTGTTTACCTTTCCTTTTAACTTCCTTGTACGAAGT